AAACAATTCAGCTTTGTCTTTAGGTGAGGTGACAAAGTCTGAACCATACAAGAGAGAAGGAATAACAGATTTGCCCTTATTATTGATACTGTTAAAGATTCTCCAGAAGTCTCGAGAGCCTAATTTTTGTGATGAGATACGAGATTTAATGACCTGGGAATAGCGAGCTTTGGCGTCAGACAAAACCTTTTTACAATGGTTTCTGGCGATAGTGAACAGATGTCTGTTTTCTGGAGAATTGTTTTGCTGATAGATATGGAAGTAACAGTTTCGATTAGAAATTGCTGCAGCGCAATGTGAGGAAAACCAAGGAGAAGAGTGAGGCAATAAAAGATTCTAAAATCGTCGAGAGGGAATAAAAGATTCCATGCCAGCCTGAATCCACGAAGTTATGTAAGAAGCACATTTGTCAGCAGGAAGACGAAAGATTTCTACCCAAGGGCCATCACGAAGAAAATCACGGAAAGAGTCCCAGTCAGCTTTAAGGTAGTTGTATGTGGTACGATGATAGGGGGATTCTGATGAAGTAGAAGAATTTGATAATAGTTTTAGAGAGATCAAACCGTGATCAGAAGTACCTAAGGGTGAATGTGGAGAAATTGAGCACTGACTAGGATCCAAAACAAGACATAAGTCGAGTAGAGAAGGTAAATGATTAGGGTTGTCTGGAAAACGAGTTGGAAAGTTGACTATTTGAGTTAGAGATTGAGAAAGGCAAAAGTTGAGGGCCTTAACGCCAGCAGAGTCACTGACACTAGAGCCAAGCCAATTAAATAAATGCCATTTATGTTTAAGTTAGTGTTTACGCAATCAATAAGTTTAATCTTCGTATCTAGGACATTAAAAGTTATCATTTAGATGTTTTCATTTGATTGAGATTTTCTTGCCTTATAAACCGGATAATAGTTCTTATGAACTGTAAGCACGCGGATAAAGTGTGCATCAATATCCTAAAGACCCATATTTTACGGGTCATGACAGCTAGTATGTAAATAATATGTAAATTATTTACAATATTTACTTATTTTAATGTTAATAATATCATGTGGCATTTGAAAGCTTTTAACTTTTTAACAGTGGTTTTAGATTAAAATTTGTCCATAGCAGGGTTTCGCGCAGGTTTTTATCCAGGGTTGGGGTCAAATACACATTAATATTTGGTAATGATATGCTATATTATCATATTTATATTTGTAATGTATTAAAAATTTTATTAATTATTTGTATTTGTTTTTGCATTTGTTAAAAATATATTTTTAGTTCCATAAACTAGGGTGGTTTTTTTGGGAAAAATGAAGGGCTTTATTGTTTTTTAGTTTTTAACACTAGAATAAATTAAAACTTTATTTTCAAGTGGTATTTGTTAAGGGGTTGTGTATAAATTATGTTATGCAATTTTTGATAATTTCGGTCCCCTATCCTCCTCACTTCCAGTAACAAATCGTCACATTTTACTAACCTCCTCCCTCTCCCCTAAAATAATGCAACAAATTTGGTCCTCCCTCCCCTCTCCTTCTAAAATTGTTTTTCATTGTTTAAATACGATATTAGTTTTCTTAGTTGCTTATAGTTATTTAATAAATGCATATTAATACGTATAAATTTTAATTATTATTATTTGATATTTCTTTGAAAGTCATTGTTTGTACATGCATAAAAGTAAACAACCCACAAAAATACTAATACAAAAAAGCCTTTAAGTATTTAATTTTTTGCTGTCACAATACGTTTATGCAGAGACATGGATGATCAATTTCACATAATTCAAAGCATGGTTAACAAGGATTGAGGGAATAATTCTCTATAAGGGTGGAGAGTTTTTGGATTTTATTGCTTTTTGTGTTTTAAAAGAACATGTTTTTGTATTATGTGTTTTGATGTATCTGAAAATTGTTTTATATGTTTTATTTATTATTGTCAATTAATTATAACTATATTTATATATTATTTGTATTTTTTTAAAGTTTCACACAATAATAATAATCGATGCGTACATAAATTGACTGATATGGCCTGAGTCACAGTGTAGTTTCATACATCATCTGACTTAAATAGGTATGGAGGAAGTGAGACGTTCATATATTCTTTTGTTCTTTCCCATAATTCAATATTTTATTGTATAAATTAAGAGTGATTAAACGTGCAAATAATCTCAAAAGATATATTTTTGATAAATATGTTATCTAAAGAAGTTATTTAGATAATATATTTGTTATTAACATTAATAATATTTTATGCTAATGCGTGTTAACTATTATTGTTGTTTGATAATTAATTTATTATTATTTTTATTTGATAATTATATTATTATTAATTACAATAATCAGAACAGTTATAGTTTATTGTCTTTTATTGTATAACCTACAATAGTTGTCTTTTGTATGAAGGAAAATAGTTGTCTTACAGGAGATTGAAAGATATTTGAAAGACATTCTTCAGATTGATTTTGAGAGTTTCATTTTCTTTGGTGATACCACAAAATCTACATAATCATTTGCAACATCACCGAGCTGTTTCAATCTATCTAGCTGAAATTAGGCATAATAGAGAGATTGATCAGTTTCTTTTTAAATCAGATAAAAAAACTATCTTGTCAAGAGTTGGATATGTCAATAATTTGCAGGGTTTGAATTGTAAGTTCAAAATTTTGATTATTAAAAAGAGTAGTCTAACTATAAGGTTTAGTTTACTTCTTAAAGGATTGGCAGTTCAACAAAGTTTCACAAAGTGAAATCTAAAAAAATGTAAATATAACATGTAAAAAAAGGTGCAATTTTTGATGTGACATGACTTGTGATCTGTCACACTTGAGCTTGACTATTTTTTTATGATAATAAAATCTTTAATGGTGTAATGAGTTAAAATAATAAAATGTTTATAGTAATATTTGAAAAAATATTGATGCTATATCAGATTTTATAGTTAACTTTTTTTTTTGCTTTTAAATTTTTACTTTTAAATGAAAACTTTATTTTTAAATCAAAATGTGCACCATTGATATTTGGTTGATATAGAGATATAGATGCTGTCATGTTACAAATGTATTTGGTTGATATAGAGATATAGATACTGTCATGTTACAAATGTTACAGTATTAGTAAAAAATAACATTAAACAACACCAAATCATAAAAAAGTTTTCTTCTAGGATGTTGACATGTATCATAGTTTTTGCTGAATTTTTTCGTGTTTTTATTACATTTTGAAAAATCCTTTTGCAAGTATAGCTCTTGAGGTTTAAATGCATTTAATGAAACAGAACAAAACTAAAAGATTTGATGCTACCCAAGCATGTATTAAAATTATAAAACAACATTAGAATCATGATCATTGAACAACATTAGAATCTTGATCATTGAGTTATCTCTAGTACAAGAAGAAAAATTATCAGTTGAAGTTTGGAAAAGTGTTGCTAAGAAACTTTTTAACTATAAGTTGTCTAGAGATATTAAAAAACCATAATGACCAGAAGTAATGCCACCTTAGATTTTATTGAATTCTTAGATTTTATTGACACCTTAGATTTTATTGACACCTTAGATTTTATTGACACCTTAGATTTTATTGACACCTTAGATTTTATTGACATCTTAGATTTTATTGACACCTTAGATTTTATTGACACCTTAGATTTTATTGACACCTTAGATTTTATTGACACCTTAGATTTTATTGACACCTTAGATTTCTAAAGAATAATCTTGAGCTGTGTTAGATTAAGTTGTGTAAGATCTTAAAAAAACTTACTTTGTGCAGAAGATTAAAGGGCTGCGCTTATGATTTTTATGAAGCGAATGATTTTGCCAAAACTGAAATATGATTTTATCAAAATTGTATTTTGAGTTAGCAAACCATCGAAACAAAATGTTTTTTCTTTTACAGTTTTTTAATTTTTTTTTTTTCAATTTTAAAACAGATAATAATATCAAAAATATAATTAATATTTTTAAATATATTAATATCAAAAAATATAACTAATATCTTTAAATTTTTATTCAATATTATATTTAGGTTTTATAAATGGTTAATTTCATTTTTAGATGATATATTAATCTAATAGAATGGATATTATTATTGTTTTCTTTTATTTGATCATGTTAAATGATTCTGCATGTTTGACATGGTGTTATGTATACTGTTAAAATGAAAGTATTTCTTTAATTTTAATTATCTTTCTTATTAAACAAACAATTGGTGAAATGGAGGCAAGTTTCTACAAAAGAATAAGTTTCAGTAAAAAAAAGCAAAGAGGATAAATAACGGGTGATGCATAATTAGTGACGCAAAAATCAAAGCCTTATATTTTTAAAGAAATAAAAGAAAAAAAAATTTTCATTTTTAAAAAATAATAACACAATATTTATTTTTTTAAAATTATTTTTTGTAAATCGATTGAACGCCTTGATCGGCTATTAATCTCAATTTAGTTTTGATACCCTTCATAAGGGATTGTAAAAATGTCAACCTTCAACCTTTTAAGTTTCGCTTTTTTTTTGTGAGTCCACGATGACGGGCGACCAGAATTTTTTTTTATTTTTAAACATTGTCCATCAAGCTGTCGATTGATATATCTATATGCTGTTTTGCGAGCGATTCCTTCTTTAATAAAATGGTTAGCGGCTTCGGCTTTGGTCGCTTTTGGGTTTTTTACAAAAAAAATTTTGACGCTTTTTTGAAGAGCTGCTCTTTCTTGGCCGTTTAACATTTTTTTTGGATAATTTTTTTTTTTAATAAAACTAGAATATTCAATTTACCAAAAGAAATTTATATGGTTTAATGAAAAAGATTATATTACGAGCAAAACTAAGTTAACTTTTGTGTCACTAATTACGCATCACCCGTTATTGATTTATAAAAATAGTTGCTTTTCTCATTCTATTAATTATCAGTACTCCAGAAATCAAATTTCAACACACCAGTAATCAAAAAAGTTTATAATTTTTGCAAATGACAGGGTCTGATACATATTTTGATCACTACATGTCTTTTTATTTTATGTAGACTTTTGCAACAAGCTGGCACACTTGATATGTACGATTTTGAAAGACGTGGCCAAGTTTCAATGAAAGGAAAGTCTGAACCAATGACAACCTATATTCTATCTCGTCAGGAATGTCTTGGATCCAATAACCCTATGGTGTTTATGGTAGAATCAGCTTCAATGCAGTCTTCTTCATCATTATTAACATCATCAGGTGCTGGTGGAGGTGCCTTTACTTTAAATCGAACTGGTGTAACTAGTGGACGAAAAAGTCGTAACTCCTCAGTAATTTCTTCACGTTTTAATACTCCAGGTAAGTTTTTTTATTTTTTATTTATGTAACTAAATTGAATAAACTAAAGTTTATGATTATAGAGCTGATGTTAAAGCTGACAAAATTTTTGCATAACTTTGTTTATATAGGCGTTAGTAGAACTGTTAGTCGTTTTGCTACTCCTTTTCGAAGTCGCTGTAATTCTGCTATGTCAAGCGTTGCAAACTTAAATCCAAATCATTTGCCATCTCCTGCAAATTCAGAGTTTGAATTTGATGAAGAAGTTGGTTTTCCATCTTTTGGATCAAACTCTTCACATCTTTCAGTTCCTCACTCTCTTTGTTTAAGTCCACAAATAAGGAGCCCAAGAATGAGATCTCAGAATATTGACACTACTTTGCAAGAATAAACAATTTGTCAAATTATAATAAAAGCTGTTAAAGCAGAAATGCATTTTTACGGGGAATGACTAGTGTGGGATGTTTTGTAACATAACTAACAATTGTTGAATTTTTATATAGTTTTTACCATAAATGGTTTTTTGTGTTATACATTTATATAGTGTAGAAAGGTATTCTAGGTTGCTTTAAAATATAACTTGTAGTTGTTTATTACTTCAAACTAGTTTTAGCATTAATAGTCTTAAATCTAAAGTTACATTTTGTCTTATTCATACTTTTCTTGTCGACAGAAGTTTTTCCCTAGTGTTCTGTGAACAATGCTTTAGTAATTTATATAGAATTTTTATATTTTTATATAGAGTTTATAATTTTAATATATAATTTTTTTTATTTTAATAGAGATAAGTAAGATTTTGTAAACTTTATACAATTTTAAAATACTTGTAATTATGTGTATGGCATATATAATACATGTATAAGAATTTTTTATTTGTATTTTTCTTTTAATGTTTTCACTTGATATAGTTATTTATTTTATATATATTATTATATATTATAATATATATATATATATATATATATATATATATATATATATATATATATATATATATATATATATATATATATATATATATATATATATATATATATATATATATATATATATATATATATATATATATATATAAAAAGAGAGAGAGAGAGAGAGAGAGAGAGAGAGAGAGAGAAAGAGAGAGAGAGAGAAAGAGAGTTATATATAAATAAGAGTTATATAGTGGGGGCTAACGCTCAACCCGCTAAACTTCAACATAATAAGTGTGCAAAAATATGTTAGCACAGCAAAGGCGAACCTATTACTCTCGGATCAATAAGGTCCTATAATTCTTTTGTCCCAGCTTGAAATCTTTGGTATCAAAAATTCAAACTTGGTTTGGATTTTATCAGGAATTAATATAATTTATATCGTAGAAAAAACGAATAATATGATTATCACATGCGGGTTTACCGAGGATTAATTCTGGGACCCTTTTTGTTTATAAGTTATATTAATAATTGAAATAAAATGTATAAGATTTTGGATTTAGTTTTATTTGCCGATGATACTAACTTGTTTTATACATGTGGGTTTCGGATTTTTTTCAGATCTTAAGTTCTGAAAAAAAAAAATTTATATTTAATGTATCATATATAAAAAAGTATATAATATATATTATATATAAATTTTTTTATATATAACATAAATTTTGATATAAAAAAATATTTTTTTTATAAATATATATTATATATAAGAACTTCAGCCGCCGTATTCACATTTCTCGGTTAAACTAACGCAAAATTTGAGTGTCCGTTAAGAAAAAAACTCGGCCGGTTACAAAACGGAGGAAAGTAAATGGTATTCTAATCCTTCCGTTTAGGCTCCGTTTATTACCGGTACGATAATTCTTTTAGTTAAAATTCCTCCGTTAGCCAGCTCTGTTAACTGGCTTTCGTGCTGTTTTTCTCATCGCATCTAAACATTGCAATGCCAACAGACAGTCATTTTGTTTAATTGGTAAATTGCAGCCGGTGATTTTCTATATAATTGTTGCAGATAAGTCTCTAAATTTAAATTAATTTCGCTATTATACGAAAAAATCAAAGAGTTTGTATCTACTTAACACTTAATTCACTTTTTTAAACTTTATATTTATGCTTCTTCACTCTTATGGATTAAGCACTTCTCTTTAATCTATTTTCTTCGATTTATGCAAACAAATTAAAATATTAAAACCGAGTAATTTTATTGTCACTCATTTCAAAAATCGCAATCATCTTTATTGCACCTAAGTGGAGGTTTTATTCTCATATTGTTTAAACTGTATATTAACTTCAAAACGAGTTATTTCATTGTGTACCTTGTACAGTTTAAGAAACTGACAACTAATTGTTTAAGAAACTGACAACTAATTATTCAAAAATTATTTTATTTTTGAAAATGAACTTTTCTTTAGATTATTGCTAACACAGTTAGCAATAATCTGAGTTGACCCTTAAGTCAGTTCCCGAGAAAACCGCGATATACCTGTGAAAGATTATGAAAATGGGATTCAAAAAATGTAAAAATTTAAATTATTTGCCTACGTCCAAGAAAGAAAATCAATTTAAAAAATTTCCTTTATTGCACAAATATGTGAAATGACAGCATGCCCAAAATTTTGCATTTTTACATTATTCATAATGAAATAATACAAGCAACATATATAAAAACACCTTATTTCTACATAAAAATTTGATTTCCATCAAAAAGAGAGTTTCCATGTCGACTTGACATGGAAACTCTCTTTTTGATGGAAATTCTTTTCTCCTTAAAAGATTTTCAAATTTCATGAAACATTTTTTCTCTAATGCTGATTATTCTTAGGTAATTCCTTGCGTTGACTGAAGCTCACATTAAAAATTCTTGTTGTTGAAATCAACAAGGCACATAAGAAGCTATTTTCCATATTCTGGATGACTTATTGGGCGTTTGTATCTTTCCCAATGTAAATTAAAGCAGTGGTGCATTGCCTCTGTTGTTTGTTCGCTATAAATTCCAAGTGGCATCTTTTTCTGTTTGACGAAGTCTTTAACATGAAAAAATAGTGCATGAATTTTTGGTGTGACTTTTCCAATGGACAAGGATTGAAAGGAATTCTTGAAAGCATCTTTTATTTCTTCAAATTGCACATGCAATTTGTTGCATAAACAGGATTATACCACATCAGCAAATTTTCGCAAGGTATCAATGATGGAAAAAACTTGAAAAGAATTGTCCTTTTCAGCAATAGTTTGCAAAAGATCCAGGTTTTTTAGCAGCTTATTGCAGTCATTGCCTGCAAAATGACCCCCATGAAAGGGCTATTGCTTTATATGTAAAGCTTGAAGCCAATCATCTGCTTTTGGTCATACATCTTTAAGAATCTTGAAAAGATGATTCACAACACCAAGTAGAAGATGCGACTCCATGGGTGGAATAAGATCCATTACCAAAAAAGAATCGCCAATAGAAAAAATAGGCTTGTAAATTATATTTCCAATCTTCCAGGCATTTTTGGTGTTTGAACCTGCTGCAGAGAAGGCACGGAATGAATCTTTTAAAGAGCCAAATGTTCTTGAATTCCCACAGTTTGCAAGGTTTGAACTTTCAGCATTACACCATGTGCATGGACTGGAAGAGGAATGGGCCTGCAGGCCACATAAAATGTTAGCCAATTTTATATCACATCAGATGACAAAATTCCCATCCTAGATATCAAGAAGAAAAAGAATTAGCCTTATATTTATATAATTTTCTTGAACACCTTCAGCCACAGCCACAAGAAGTTGTGTTTTTACATCAGTAGCTTGGCGCACCTAAATAACAAAAATAAAAAGATGTAGTTACATTTTTTAAATGATCAAAGTATAACAACATCTGTGCAACTACATTTGTGGATTTTACATTTTACAGTACATTTTACAGATGTTGTTACATCTTTTAAACTATTAAAGTGTAATTACATCTGTGCAACTATATTTGTAGATTTTAAGATGAAGTAATTTTTAAGATGAATTAACTAATAATCTTTCTAAAGATGTTGTTGAATTTTCAGATGATATTGGACAAATGTTATTAGAGTAAAAGAAAAATACAGATAATCTTTGGCGAAAGTGTACAGATTTTGGACTACTCCACAGATGTTGTTGGATAGATGTAGTTATCTTTTACCTTTTTTTATTGCTTCAAAATTATTAAACAGAGGGAGGGGTCCTAACTAGCTGGGGGGAGGAAGGGGGAGGACAAATTAATAAGCGTCCCTCAACGCACTATGCGTCGCTCTAATACAAAATGAGGAAACAAGCTTATAAATAAGGAAGCATTCAACATAAAGAGCTGATTTTTTCATGAGACAACGAATTTTTGTTTATATTTCTATATTTAAAAGAAAAATATCCGGCTTTTTTAAAAAAAACAGTTAACTGTATTTTTGCGGTACATCCGGATTAATTTCTGACTATTCCCGAAAATTCCTTATATCTTTATTCAAAAAACAGTAGGGGCCGATATTTTAAAGAATTTTACAAACTTTTTTGGAAATTTTTTATAAATATCAATTTATCAATATCAATTTTTCAATTTTTTATCATTTTTTATCAATATTAATTTATCAATTTTTTATCAATATCAATTTTGATATTAACAATACTAATAAATATAAACTTATTAAAATTATAATTAAATTTGCCGTCATCTAATTCTTTGTTCTTTAGTTTCTTACAAAGTTTCTCAACGTTCTATAGAACGTTGAGAAATTAAAAACAAGTTATTAAAAACAAGTTATTAAAAACATCTATTAGATCTAATAGATGTTTTTAATAACTTGTGGCTACGAAAATAACCGTATCTTTAAAAACTCAACGCAGAACAGCTTATCAATATAACATTTTAGTTCATGATATAGATCTTTCTAGATTAGTTAATTACTAGTTAAAATTTATTATTTCTGAAATATTTTTTAAAAAAAAAACAACAACAAAACTTTGACATGTTATTATAAACTATATTGGGATTTCTTTACCAAAAAAAAAAATTAAAAAAAAAAAGTAGTCTAAACTACTAACAATAGCATAACATTAAAAAAAAAAACCACTCAATAGAGGTACATATCACAAACAAATGTCACAAACAAATAATTAACTGTATCCGAGTGTTTTCTGCAAAAAAAGTTAAATATGCATGACTAACTCGTGCAGTTTTGCTTTCTTTGTGTCTGGATTCAATAGCACTCTCAGACAAAGAACCTATATATATATATATATATATATACATATATATATATATATATATATATATATATATATATATATATATATATATATATATATATATATATATATATATATATATATATATATATATATATATATATATATATATATATATATATATATATATATATATATATATATATATATATATATATATATATATATATATATATATATATATTATTTTAAAACATCAAGAAATGCAGAAATATAT